CACTAATCTAATATAGAGTACTACTGACGTTTGATAATTTAAGAAAACGTGAGAAGTCCAAGTAGACAGTTATTTTATAGAGTGAATCTTTGTTTAAAGACTAGCTTTTTGGGTTAATCCATCTGCATTGCCCCATACAATCTACGCCGCAAAAACTTTCTTTAAAAAACAAAAGGAGAATTGCTTTTACTGTGTCAGCAAAAAACTTTAAAATGCAAAAAACACTTCCTGATCACAACTTTCTAAAACTGATCGTCTATTTCAATTGCCTTCATTGATCAATTGGCGTATAATTTCCCCTCTGTATCTAACCATTGTTCACCACCAATTATTTCAATGATATAAATGTACGCTTTGCGAAAATGAACCCTCAGAGACACACTGTTCTCGTCAGCGATTGTGTTTTGGTGACCTATGGTGTTCTTGGCAAGATCGTTTAGTTGATGAACCTTCAACATGGCGCGAGTACCAACTCCAGAAACTACTACGGTCTAACGGCAGTTTCCCTTACCCTATAAAAACGCTCTTTGCCTATCTTTTTTTGTTTATTTTTTTCGTGTGCAGAGTTCCTGACGCCAGTGAACGGATATTTCAAGATTTGGATTCTTTCCTGTTCTAAATCAGCGTCATAACTGACTTTGTCTGAAGTAGAGCAAACTTCAAAAATAAGCACTCAATTGGAAACCTAAATTAGAAGCAAGGTTTTCATAGGTTTTCCGAAAGATTGGTAGAACTGCGTACAGGTCTGTCAAAATTTATTTGGTTTTCTAGTCACGTTATGTGTTACAGTATTTGCAAATGGAGCACTAAACGTATTCTAGCAGGACGGTACATTTGGCGATATCTCTTTACTGAACATAATATGACTTTAAAATAAATAAATTATTTTTTAAATAGTTATTGCAGGAATACGAAATGAATGATAAATAGTCTTACGCCAGTGAATTCCATTTTGTGCTGGAGAGGGAGCACTAATCTACTGCCATAAGTGAACAGTAGGCGGAAGAAACTAATTCCACCCTCAGTTCTGGACTTTTATTATATGCTGTAATCAGTTTCACACAGATATCAAAGGTACTCTCAAAAGTTGAAAAGCCGACGCATTATCTGGTCGTTCGGCGTCAGTTATTCCAACTTTAGACGGGAAAAATGGTTTTCAAATGCTTTAAAGAGTACTCCACAGTAAACTAGTCACCGTAACAATAGTTAACCAACTACGTAATATCTGTTACGAGCGAGAAGGATCTAGAAGCACGTAAAATGATGGCTGAATGATTTGAATATCTCAATTACCTCAAGCGTCAATAGAGAGTGTGTCCGTTCTTCTTTGTCATGAAGTTCCTAGAAACAGATGGTTCTAACGACGCGTCATATGTGAGAGTATCTACGTCGTAAAATTGTCGGTATGTACGTCTTCCGTGGCGTGCTACATGCAGCTACGTCTGCTTGCCATTCTTACTGAAAACTCTTTTGCCTGTTCAATACACTTTTTCAGAGCTCTAAAAGCAGTTCCATACCGTACTCGTCCTTCATGAGTCCCACTCGATGGGTAACCGCTGCGGGTGGCACCAAACTTCATTGGAGTGAACAATGCCTTTCATCTTTTTCCGGATATGTGGCTAACGGCTACGGCAAAGTGAAATTGACCAAAAATTCTTTATCTTGCTGCCATTAGCCACTTCCATGTGTAAGAAAATACTGAATTTTTATTCGGAAACTGTTATAAATCGTGTTCATTTTTTAACGAACTATCTTATATCCGCTGTCAAATGCAGCTAAGCTTAATCATATAGTGCTTAGTTTCTGACAAAAGTGAGCTTTTTTCATATGCTTCAGTGTTTAATCCACTTACATATATTTTACAACCAACTTTTTAACGATAGCTGTGACTATTTATCTTATCATTATGTATACTGAAACTTGGTTTCTTTCCTCGATCACGATCAAAAGAATGGCTGCAGAAAATAGCTGAATGTTGAGCAGAAAGCAACTCTTTCATATTTTGTTCATCCCAACCATAAACTGAAGACTAAACTCTAGTAAAATTTGTTTATATATACCAAAAATTTTTGACAGTAATCGACAACTGCCGCTTCTCATTATAATGACTAAAATTTGGTTATTTAAAAAAAAGAAAACTGATGTAGACCTGGAATGTTCACTGGTTTAGCAGCAAATATTCAATATTTGTGATTGGTTTTGTAAAAGCATTATAACCAAATTAATCCCTAACAGCCACGTTTTCCTATGCGTATTTTAGCCAGTGTTCAATTTTCGTGGTTGCTAGCTGAAACATAGCCTTTTGATTCGACATAATGTCGACCACGTTCCGAACTCCAGTTCTGGTAGAAGTAGTCGAATTTGCACATAATTCTAGAAATTCTTTTTCCGATGGAGAAGGAGTCATAACGGAAAGCTATTCCTTGGTACAGCAGTAGATGGAACAAAAACACAGCATTGGCGACAGCCTCGGTAGAACGTTGTTGACAACTTGCCAATTCTTTTCTGCCGTGTATAGATGGGGTATAACAACCATATCGGACTGTGGCGAAAACTTCGTCGGGCAGTTGCAACTTGCCGCAGTTTCGCAATTGTTTGCCTCGTCGTGAATGCGCCGCTTAACAATGCAATTTAAACGGCATTGGTTCGGCGAATATTCGCAGCAGCTACAGCTTTGCTTGCCATTGTTAAGCTGAACCATAGTTTTGGCAAACTTCCCTGCGGTCAAGTATGACCATTCGAAGTTACTACTGCATTAATGTAGCACATGCGGATGTTATCTGCACTTCTTTTACGCATCGTTAAGCGTCCGAGTTGGATGAATTGTAATTATGTTGAATAGTTATAAGCAGGAGTATACTGCCGTGTTAGTTTGTGCATAAATTTGACTTTTTTTTTGTTTTGTTGCACACGTAGGATTATTTTTTGACTCAGGTTTTTAAATATTTGAATTACGACAAAGTGTCGACCAAGTACCGAACTCCAGTTCTAGTAGAGGTAGCCGAATTTGAGCATATTTGTGTGAGAGTTTGATGATGTCATTTTAAGCATAGAAGAACCAGTGCGTCACCTATGTTTATTTTTGATTGCTGATCTGTATACACTCTACTGTTGTCTAGACTTTGTTTGCATTATTTTGCCGTTATATGTCATTACGGATTTTATCTACTTGATACGAACTTTAAATACCCCACCGCTGTTGCAGTTTATGATGCTAAATGTGTTTTTCATGGGTCAGATGTCCCTTTCAGTTTATGCATACAGTGTTCTTGATCTCATTTTTCAAATAGCGCAGCTTCAGGACGATCGTATATTTTTGCTTTATTCGTTAAAGTTTTAGTGATGAAATTTGTTGCCTACCGTAAGTGCACATTTTCAGCGTGGATTGTGTTAAGTGTCAGTATAGTATGTTGGCTGTGTTGCTGTTTTCCCAAATACAGGTTTGAAAAGTTTAGAATTTTCAGCTTATAAGCACAAATTTTCTATCTACTGCGCTTTGTTGCTTAGCTGTTTGTGTAGGGCATAATATTTGATCAAAAGAGCGTTCAAAAGGGCTTTTTGGAGCAAGTATTTATCTATAAAGAAATGCTTGATGGTTTCCTCTTGTTTAATTTACGAGTTTTTATAGCTCCTCTTTTCGTTTGTAATGGGAACTCCACAATCCTTTGATTAGCTGGAATAGAAAATTTTTTTGAAATGACTCAACTAGTAGCAGGGGGAACTTTGAAGAAAAAATTTTTTGGGATGGAAAGTTTTATTAAGGCAATACTATTTTGAGAGTAATCAAGTGTTAAGATTAGTTGGAACAATGTTGAGAAGGATATGAGACGAGTTCGGAGTGCTATTGAGCTGCTATTTGTGTAGATTTGAAAAATGTTGTATGTTTGCTTAAGTCATGTCCGAAGGAACACCGGTGTCGAACTGTACAAGTGAAAAAGATACACCTTTGCAATAGAATTTTGGAATTTAAGAGGAGAGTTCATAATTTTTTCGAAATTGCGACTGGGTTAAAGGAGTTATGTTGAAAGCATTATGTATAGAAAGTGAGTGATATGTTTGGTCAAGAATACACAAGCGGCAAGCATCGTAAACTGAGTTAGCTTTCTCATTTGTTTCAGCTTATTTTCCGAGATCTGGCGTTTGGCAAGTAGTAGTTTTATCTATTATTTTGAAATTAGACCTGTTAACATTATTGGCAAACACTATATTTACTGTTACATCTGGCGTAATTTCACAAGCTTGGTAGTATGACCTGATTATTTGTAGTACTCGTTTTGAAGCTTCATATACTGGGTTGGGTTTTTTTAGAAAATTAACAGGCAGCGGAAAAAGTATAAGTGTTGCTGTGAATCGTTATCCTTTTCCACCAGCTTCGTTCATTACTTCATTGTTCTCTGATTTTGAAGTGCTGTACGTTCGTGGTATATCAATGTAAATATTAATCTCTTAGCTATTTCAGATGCTGCCAAACTTGTTGGGCTATCTATTGTTAATAAGTTTCCATCTGTCATTTGCAAACTTCCAGCAGTTTGCAGTTGAATACTCGTTAGATGGTAGGCTTTTTTATTGACCGTAAATAGTCATCAGTAGGTATTTCTATTTTGTAATTTTTTGCACCAGTAAGAAACGCTGTCGAGTTTACAATTTGTGAAGATGGAATAGTACTAGTAATAGGTTTTTTTAGTTTGTAATAAATTGTTATAGAAGTGGCAGCGTATAAGCCGCTTGGAAGCATAACGATAGAACGTACTTATGATGGTAACTACACGGGTTTTTTTGTACCAAAAGTTGAGTATAGGACTTTATGGCAAGAAATGCGAAGCGCAGCAAGAGCGGGATTAAGTTACAGAATTCGATCAGAGATTAATAAGGATTCTATAGAAGCATTTAATGAACCAGTACGCTTATCGACTGATTCAGTGTTTGATTTTATGTCTGCTACTTAACTTTTCTAAAATAATTTAAAATTTTTAAAGAATTCATTTTAACCCGGAATACATGACGTATGAATTTCTAGTGCCTAATGCTTCGTGCTAACTTGGTGCATCAGTTTCGTGCAACGATTGACCCTGATCAGCATGCATTGTTGTCCCTTTCTGTTTTTCCCGAAGGAGTATTTGTAGTTGACTCAGAACCCCAACAATGCATTGATGAGGAGCCGTCATTTAGTAAATTATATGGATCAGTAGCAGTAACGAAAGTTACTTCTTTACCGACGTAAGTTTCATTTTGGTATGAGGAATGATTGGATGTGGCCAGAACTGAAAATATGTTAGTGTTTTTTAACAAC